TGATTGGCTTTCATTTTACAAAGATCACTTTGTCTCTACCGTGGATATTAGGTGGGGCAGGAGTGGCAGATAGATTGGGGAGATCAGGGAGAAAGCCTGGGAAAAGGGAATACTTAGAATAGCTCCCACCCCCTTACAATTGGCAGTTAGAATGAACTGTAAGTTTAAAACTTACAAGGCAGCCAAACCCCACCCTGTGGCACCAATATCTAGCGGGAGAGAGATAATGAGCATATATACAGGCACACCTCAGAGATGCTGTGGGGTGGGTTGCAGACTACCACGATAAAGTGACTATTCCCATGAGTTTTCTTGTTTCCTATATGAAGTTATGTAGTCTATTAAGTGTGCAAAAACGTTATATCTTTTAAAAAACGTTTGCACCTTCATTTTAAAATATTGTTTGAACTGGAGGGGGTTATAGTAAGTGAAGTCAGAAGAAAGCAAATATTGAATGATTTCAATCATGTGGAATACAGAAAAAACAAATAAGTAAAACAACACAAAGGAACTGACAAAACTAAAATAAACCCCAGAAGCATGACTACAGAATTGAGGCTACTGAGGGGGAGCGAAGGGCGGGTAGGAGGAAGGCCCAGGGGGGCACAGGGACCAGGGGTCTGCTGTAAAGGACTGTGGGTGCTTGTTTGGTGGGGGTGGCATGAGCTCATTCCCCTAAGCCAAATACAGTATTGTAAATAAAAGTTACCTCAATAAAGGAAAAAAGAAAACAAACATTGCTTAAAAATTGCTGCCTATCCGCGCCTTCAGCAAGCCTTACAGGCTGTGGGAAGCATCTCGAAGCAAGGTGGTGTGCCTGTACAGCGCACGTCGCGTGTCGTGCCGGCAGCCAGTGCCGTAAAGCCAGAGAGGGACACAGGAGTGCCAGGGCCAGCAGGGCCTCCCTGAGCAGGCCGTGTCAGAGGAAAGGCCGTGCAGGTCTGGGAAGAGGGAACAGCGGCCTTTGCAAATGTGGGACTGTTCCTGGCTTTCCCTTCAAGACAAGGGAACTGAGTGAGCAAGGAGGGGAACGGGAGGGGTGAGAGCAAGGAGGGAATAAGTCAGAGCCTTAAGGGGGGACTTGGACTTTGGACCTGGCTGACTGGGGGAGCCTCGGAGGTTTCTGTGTGCTGGAGGGAGGCACCCGAACCCTGGTGCTCACAGGCGCTCTCTGGCTGTGTGGAGGGGACAGACTGGCATCTGGGTGCCTCAGCATGGCCAGGGGAAGATGACTGGAGGAGCAGGGAGAGGTGAGAGGATTCTGTATCTAGGAGGAGTTGTAGCAGCTGCTGGGGTTGGATGTGAGGGTGAGAGGAATGGAATCCAGAATCTATAGCTTCCTGTGTGTGAGAGAGGACCATGCTGCCTCTTAACAAGCCAATGTGCCGGGCACTTTGGGGCTTGCCCCATCTCTGGCGGATAGAACTCCAGTCCCAAAGAAGGATGGGGAAATGGATCGGAGAGGCCAAGGGCCCAACCTAAAGCCCCACTCTACTTCCTGAGGGCTTCCTGGAGGAGCTATACCTAAGCAGCTGGGCACTCTGGCTGCTAGGTTTGGTGAAGAGGGGAGGGGGCGTGAGGCAGGAGTCTCCATTATGAAGGGTAGGTCCTTGGGGGGCATAGACTCCCGTTGTCAGTGCCCCCTGCCAGGCATTCAGACTCCTACCCACTCAAGCAGAGGGTTGCCTAGGCAACCACACTCTAGGGCAGACTAGAGGCACCCCCTCTCCTCCAGCAGCCGGCTCTCCTCCTGTCACCCTCCCCTGCCCCATCTCAGGGCATCTGAGGACAGAGCCTAGGCCATGTCCCGCACCCAGGCTCCCCCCCTTGAGAGTGACATGGGCTCAGGTGCGAACACAGAGAAGGTGGGCCAGTGGGTTAAGGTGGGGTCCAGCCCACCTTGGTGTGAGGGCAGCAAGCCCTGTTTACCGTGATTTTAAGTTGGGGTTACCTGCCCAATCCACTCACGTTCACGCAGGGACAGAAGCAGGTATGAACTCACTTAGTCCTATGGGAGCAGAACCTTTGGGGATACCCAAGGCGCTTGGTCATACAAATGCAGTGGGAGCTGGGAGGAAGGGTTTCTTTCTGCTCCTTCCAGGTCTCCCCAGCTTCCTGTGCCCAATCTTGGGTGGGGGGGTTTCAAGCCTTTTGAGTTCAGTGCTCTCTTAACTATGTGGGTACCCCTGGACTCTCACTTTCCTCATTGTAAAATGTAGGTCTTCTACTTTTAATCCCCTTCTTGTTATGGGGATTAAATGAGGTATGTGTGTGTGCCACGTTAGAGGGGGCAAGAAGGTGGCAGCTGTGGCCTCAGATTAGGGGCAGGGTTGGTTCCCTCTGAGGGCTCTGAGGGAGAATGTTCCAGGCCTCACCCCTGCGGTCTGGAGTTTGCTGACAGTTTTTGGTGTACCTTGGCTTGTCCGCGCATCTCACTGATCTCTGCCTTCATCTTCATGTGGCAGTCTCCCTGTGCCCATATCTGTGTTCAGATGTGCCCTTTTATAAAGACACCAGGCAGGCATATCAGCTGGGGCCCACCCTAGTGAGCTCATTTTTAAGCACTGTCTGCAAATGAGATCCCATCCCGAGGTGCTGGGGGATAGGATTTCAGCACACCTTTTTTTTGTTTGTTTGTTTTGTTTTGTTTTTATTATTTTGAGGAAGGAGAACACAACACAATCCACAACACCCCTCCCAAGAACTCAGGGATGACCAAGCCCAGGTGGTTCCTGCTTATCCCATCTGACCTGGTCTCCTGCCTCGGGCACCCTGTACGACTCTCCAGGTGGGATGAGCACACATGCCAGGAAGAAAGAAAAAGACAAACGGGGGCTGGTTCCTGGGATGCCCCGGCTCCTCCGGAGAGGGGCTTAAGAGCAGCAGACTTTCTGCGCCCAAGCTAGTGGTGCCTATCTGTGAGGGTTGGCTGGCCCCCTAATCCCCACCATCCTTAGTCACTCACCCTGGATTCATTCAGGAAATAGCTGTTCGAGGACCTACTGTTAGGTGCCAGGAGATGACCTTGGGAGCCTTCACTCTCCTGGGGACATAGAGGAAATCTGCAAGCGAACACTGAAGTCATGGGGACAGCGAGGGCTGCGGCCAGTCACCACACACTGGGTGCAGCCCTGCGCCTTCCATGTGGATGGCCCCCTCATTGCACAGCGGCCTTATGAGGGCTCTCCATTTTATACCAAGAGGAAAACACACTCGTGGGAGGTGATGGTGTGTCAAGAATGGGGCAGCTACAAGGTGTTACAGCATGGGGTGGTCCACCTGCATCTCCACTGAGTAAGGGACACAGAAAGGGGGCCCAGGCAAGACAGAACTGGTGGGAAGGCATGGGGTGGGGGGCAGCGCATAGCTGCCAGTGTGCCTCGGGGCTGTGCTCGAGCCTTTGCAGAGGGCTAAACAGCAGAGTATCTTAAAATACCCTGTGTGGAAATAACCTAAGAGTCCATCAGTAAAGAAGGGATGATTCTGGAAGTCGTGGTCCAGCCACACAGTGCAAGGTTTAGCCACAAGGAAGAGTGTTGTGTAAACACATTCACTTAACGAGGTTTGGTCAACAAGGGCAGAGGTCCCAGGAAGGCTGTGTCCCCTGGTCCGGGTACGGTAGGCTCAGCCCCCTCGGCTTGTGTGATCATGCTCTGTAAGTTCACACACTGTAAAACTGCCTAATGTCGTCATCGTGCCTGTCATAAAGCGACATAGAAGGGCACTGACATAGGACACGAATGAACCTTGAAAACATGTTGGGTGAAAGAAGGCAGACACAGAAGGCCACAGATTGTGAGATTCCCTTTGTGAAATGCCCAGAACAGGCAGATCGTTAGAGATGAGTAGTTACCAAGGCTTTAGGGAGAAGACATGTTTGGGGCGATAAAAAGAGTTTTAGAAAAAAACAGATTATGGTGGTAAGGCATTGAGACTATAAATAACATCAGTGAATTGTATGCTTAAAGTGGTGAAAATGACAACTCTGAAGTATATTCTACCACATTTGAGAAGTTCAAAGGTCCTCTGGCTGCCAGGGGAGTCTGGACTGTGGGGCTACGGCAGCTGGTCAGAGATGTCTGGGGGAGATGGTCATCCCTACAAAGCGGGGCCAGCTTCAGAAAACAATGGTCACTGGGGTGTTTTGGAGGGAAAAAGCCAAGTCTTCTAAACTGGAATAAGGGAAAGAGAAACCAACTGTTTTGGCCCTGGAGACCTGGGAGGTGGTGGGCACATGGACTGATGAGAGAGCTGAAGGATATCTTGGGGACTTTGATGGCGGTGTGGAAGGTGAGGAGAGGCAGGTGAGGAGCACAAGTGTGGCTTCTGCACCATCTAGATGGTTTCTGAAGCCACAGCCTAGTCCACACATGACCTGAGGGGCGGGTGTGGACAGGAGAAGAGCTAGTGACTCCAGTTGGAGTCCCAGTGTCCTAGGGTGCAGCCCCCGATGGAGGTTACAGGGTCCTGGTTGGCCTACTGTGCACACAGACTGTCATCCTGACCAGAACCCCACAGATTCTTGGGGCTGGGGAGGGGAAAGGACTGGCTAAAGGTCACACTGCACCTCAGTGGCAGAGTCAAGAGCCAGCCCCTTTGGGCATCGACTGCCCTTTCGCTGCCTGCCTCCCTCTCAGGGAATGCTAGGGAGGGCGTCCCTCTGCCGGAGCTTGGTGCCGCCCATCGCTGGGGATGAGGTGGGGGGGCAATTGAGGTGGTGAGGAATGTACCCCCTTCCCGCAATACAAAATCGTAAGATATTTTGAAATGAATCAAAGTGCCATAGGTCATTCAGATGTGGATGGTGGCTGTGCATTGATGGGTCACAGGAGGAATTCCTAGAGGTTGGAAACAGGGAGGGGACAGAGAAGATATTCAAGGTACATGTGAATCCCATTCCTATTTCACAGGGGAGGAGACTGAGGCTGGGAGGGGGCTTAGGATGAGTCTTGCCCCGTGAGCCTGCCATTTGATCTTTATTTCCTGGAGCCTGGGTTGAGTCCTACCCTCAAGCTACTCATGGTGTCTTGGGGAAGACCAGCAACAGACCTACTCACAGAACAGGTAATTTCAGGTACAGTGGAAAAATGTGACTTAGAAGCAGAGCAAAAGAATAGTGAGTGAGAGTAGTAGGCAGGAGGTTTTTTTTGGGGTGCTTGGGATAGGTCACTCTGACCTTGGAGTTGAGCCCTGACTTGAGAAGCCCCAGTAGTTGTGTGAGGACCCTGCAGGAGCATTCTGGGCCAGGGTAATAGCCCAGGCAAAGATTCTCTATTCCTGGTAAGGAATAGAGACCTTGGCAAGAGCGGAGGGGACAGTTAATACCCTGGCCTGCATCGTTGAATGGCGGCAGGGAGACTGGGTGAGCATGTTGGTGCTGCAGGGTGGTAGCTTGGTCCTGGGTGGTGGCACTAGAGGCAGGTAGGCAAGACACTTGGGAAGCAGAACTCAACAGAATTGCTGAATGGAGCTTATGAAGGGGAGGGGCAGGGTGAGGTTCGAGGAACTGAGGGCAGATTCCTTGATTTGGAGTCTGAGATTTATTCAACAGATATTCATTGCTCATGTGTTCAAGAACTATAGGAGACAACAATCCAGTAATCCTCACCTCACATGGGGGCCATTCCACAGAGAAAACGAACGCAGCTGACCCTTGACCAACATTGGTCTGCACTGCCACTTTTATGCAGACTTTTAAAAATCAATACATAAATGCATTTCCTCTTGTGACTTTCTTATTAGCATTTTCTTCTCTCCTGCTTGATTGTAAGAATACAGTATATGTTACATGTAACATATAAAATACGTGTTCATTCACTGTAGATGTTATCGGCAAGGCTTCGGGTCAACAGCAGCTGTTGGCAGTAAAGTTTTTGGGGAATCAGTCATTGTTGGATTTCTGACTGGGGCGGGTAAGGAGTGGGCACTTCTAAACATCCACCCATGTGGTGTTCCAGGATCAGCTGCACTTCTGCCTCAAGGAGTGTGGGAGGCAGCCATGGGCGTAACAGGGGCAGAAGTCTGGCTGAGGAAGTGGCCAGGGCAAAGGTGCCACTCAGGGCCTAGTGGGCTGGGCTGCACAGTAGCGGGAGGCTGAGTTGCCAGGGCAGGCACAGGGTCAGAGGACTTAGTCGCCAGGTCCTCAGAGCGTCGTTTAAGGAGGTGGCAGTCATCGGTGCTCTGTTGAAAGACTGCAGGCTAGATGTAAGATTTGGGAAGTACTGACTGATCAGTGGTGCTGAGACCAGGAGGGGACTCACATACTGGAGAGGTGATAGCCTGTCACAGAGAATGTGCATTTCTGGAAAGTTCCTGACCAAGCTAGAGCCTCCGGCCAGGACCTTGGAGAACCTGAGTTTAGGTACAGTAAAGGACCAAGAGCAGAGGGCCAGGCTGGCAACCTCTAGAGTATTCAGGGGAGACAGGCACAGCAAGAGGGGAGAAGGAGCATCTGTGAGGAGGAGGAAATGGGTCAGAGCTGTGCTGTGACCACAGGGACTGTACCAGGGGACCACTGTGTGCTGGGACAGGCAGGCAGGGGTAGGGAGGATTGAGGGGGAGCATGCCATCCTCCCAGGGGCAGCAACGCTCTCTCACTCCGCCTGCCTGTCTCCAGCTTACCCCAGGGTCCTCCAGAGGGGAAAGAGGGGACTCAGTTGTCCCTGGTCCCCAAACTGTGGCGCCAGCCTGCTGGATTCTAATTAGCTACCAGAGCAGGAGAGACAGGAAGCAGGGGGCTGGGGGTGGGGCCTGGGTTCTTGCTCAAGCCCTGGAGGCTGCAAGCCAGGATCTGGATGCCTGGATGCCTGAGTCTACCACCCAGGACACTGCTCACACCTTAGCCTCCTCCTTGATGGACACAAATGGGGCAAAGGGGATGACATAGAAGCTTCTAGAACACCCTTCATGACAGTGACAGAGGGTCTCTGCAGCCTTGACATCCTGCTGAGCGGTCCCTGCCACCTGATGGGGACTGTGAGACCACAGGGGTGCCTCTAGGAGGCTCTGTCTGGTCTGCATACCCAAACCGGTGGGTCTGTCTGAGGGGTGTGCAGCATGAGCCATAGGCCCTGGGGTTGTCCTTTTCCCCCAAGGGTTCGCTCCTGCCACAGACAACTGGAGAGGGAAGTGCTGGACTTGGGCCCCTCTCAGGCTGCTGCCTGAAGGAAGAGGGGACCAGCCCAAATGCCCCCAAATGCACTAGGGGGACAGCCCCAGCACTGTGTCATTAACCCTGTTCTCCCCAGGCTGGTGGGCCAGGCCGTGGTGTCCACATGGTGATGTGGGGCGAGGCCACGTGTACAGGCCACTGAGAGCGCCGTGAATACCCCCAACTGCCACCATGGCCCGCCTGGCCGCCGCACTCTGGAGTCTCTGTATCACTGCTGTCTTGGTCACCTCGGCCACCCAAGGTAAGTACTGCTAAACCCTGCAGGGAGGGCACAAAAAAAGTTGACATATCTCCCTGGCATTTGTTTATAAACTATGGCCCCTACCATCTGGACCTCAGTGAAACTGGGCCAGAGGAAGATTGGTGATTACACCCTCAGCCCCACCCAGGGGTTCTGGAGCCTGGAACTTAGGCCGTAGGCCCTGGGGACCAGGAGAAGACTTCCTGATAAGCTACTGTTCTTCTGTCTTCTGTGTATCTCTCTCTCTGTGATTACATCTCGGAGGCTCTCACTGGGAAGAAGGCTTAATTAAAGCATGCCTGCTGACGTTTATTTAAAAACAACTAATTACCCAGCTCGGCCCTATGCTGGCCCTGGGATCCTGTGCACGCCACAATTAGTGCCCTGAGCCTGCCCGCCCACCCTCGATGATTACTCAATTATGGTCCCCATGGTGGGCCCAGGCAGGTGCAAGGGCAGAGCAGAGAGGGAGGCAGAAAGGGCTGGAAGCTTTATCCCTCACCCCCCAGCCCTGTCTGGAGGGTGCTGGCAGGGGACCCTGCTCCCTAGCACTCCCTCATAGTCTTCTGTCTGGAAAGCGATGCATGGGGAGGGGGCATTGTTCAACCATGCCACTGGGTCTTGGCACTCTTCCGGTCATCTGACACCCAAGTTCTCTGCCCATCCAAGTTGTGCCCCATAGCCCCAGCTGGGCCAGGAGGGACTGCTTCCACCCCCAGACCCATCTGAGCCAGCCCTCCACCCCCAGCCTTCCCTCCCAGCCTGAGAAGGGCTAAAATTAGCCATGGAAGCAGATGGTGCTACAGGAACACATGTAAAACTTTCCCCCAAGTGAGACTCGACTCACCCCAAAAAACCCCAGGGGCCTAGCTGCCATCCTCTTCAGCTCCCTCAGCCAGCACTGAAGAGATGAGGTGGTGCTGCCATCAGGCCCTGGTGCCCTCTCTCCACTTACAGGTGACAGTCCCCACCTCGGAGCCTCTGGGCCACCCTGCATCCCCTCTTAGCTCTAGCACCAGCAAGGCCAGGCTGGGGCCAGGGTCTGAGAAGGTGGCCTCCCTGGCAGGCAGGCATAGTGTGGAGCTTGCTCTCTCCTGCAGAGACTGGCTGCCTTAATACTCTTGATGACAACAGTAATTCGCACTCTGTCATCTCACTATGTACCAGCAAGTACATCCTCACAACACCTCTATTAGGTGGGAGTTGTCAACTCTATAGGGAAGGAAACAGGGCACAAAGGTGGCCAGTGACTGGACAAGGCCATAGGCCAGGGAGTGACCAGGCTGGGATTTAAACCCCCTGGCTTCTGAGTCCAGCTTTTAGATCTAGAACTGGACCTGCCCAGGGATGTTCTTTCATTATCACTGTGGCCCTGGGAGGTTTCCCCAGTGACAACTAGGAGGCCCCTCCCTATGCTACCCTTATATGTGACACCATGCTTAGCACTTCCTTCCAGAACAGTCCCTAACTCATGAAATCTTGGCAGTGAGACCCTAGGCTGTGATGCTTATTTGACAAACTGAGGCATGAAGAGGCTACAGTAATACGTATTCAAATTTGAGCAGGCATCAGCATTCTTGATGGACAGATGGGGCCTTGTCCTCTGAAATTCTGGTTCAGGAGACCCAGTTGGCAGGGCTGTCCCAGAATCTGCATTCAGAACCAGCCACCAGTTGATGCTGATTTGTCTGGTCCCTGGGCCACACTGTGGGAAGCCCTAGTCAGAGCACATGCCTGTTCTGTCACCTGGAAAGTGGCAAAGCCAGACCATGAAGTTTCTTCCAGAAATATTAGGGCATCCCCTCACATACCATTTCTGCTCCCTGCATGGGAAGGCGTGAAGTTCGGGAAGGGCTTCAGATCACCCTCCCTTCTGACAACAGTTACGATTTCTGGCCCCCCACTACTACTTATATTTGAGGATTCACTAGAATTCACAGAATTCAGGAAAACTAATACAGTTACAATGCACTATAGTGAATAGATATTGGGTTAAAAATCACCGAGGAGTAGAAGTGCATGGGCGTGGTGTCCAGGAAGATCCATGCACAGAGCTGACAACTGCCCCTCTGGGCAGAGTCACACAAACAGTGTTAACTCTCCTGGCTGGCCGCAGTGTACCACAGCGTGCCCGGGGCATTGCCAACTTGGGAAGCTTCCCTTGAGCCTGGGTGTCCAGAGTCTTTACTGGGGCTCAGTTTGTAGGCTTGTTTGATCATCCCCATGGCTGGCCGAGTCTCACTGAGTCTTTAGCCCTCCAGAGGTCAGCCGATGACACATGAGCCAAGACTGTTAGCACAAAACCCAGAATCACATTGTTATGTGCTAGTTTGCTATGGTTGCTGTAACAAAGTGCCGCAGCCTGGAGACCTGGCCCACAAAAGGGCCAAAAGGGAAGGGACTATTCTAGGCCTCCCTTCCTTGGCTTTTAGATGACTCCCTTCTCTCTGTGTCTTAACATCCTCTTCCCTCTGCAATATCCCCTTTTTTTTTTTAAAGATTTATTTATTTGTGCGTACAGAACTGGGGTACAGGCCAGAGGCTCAGGGGCGGTGAGAGGCTTCACCAGAGACAGAGCAGGGAATAGAACAGGCAGATGGACGAAGTACACTGCTGAGGGGAGCAGCGGGCGGGTCAGGAGAGGTCTGCCACACCATGTGGTCACCTCCAGGGCAGGCGGGAATCGAACTCATGCGGAAGCAGCTTTAGATTCTCAGTGCTGTGCTTTAACCCGCTGTGCCACCAGGGAGGGCCCCAAATTTCCCCTTTTTATAAGGCCACTAGTCATGCCTTCAGACCCTCTCTGATGACCCTCTCTTAACTTGATTATCGCTGTAAAGACCTTATCTCCAAATTCACTCCCATGTTGAGGTACTGGGCATTAAAACTTCAGCATATGGATTTGTGGAGCAGGAAGGTATCTTTCAGCCCATAATTGTTTGGTTTTTTTTTTAGAAGATTGATTTATTTATGCATACAGAACTGGGGTACAAGCCAGAGGTGCAGGGGTGGTGAAAGGATTCACCCAGAGACAGTGGGGAGCAGAACAGGCAGATCAATGAAGTACTCTACTGAGGGGAGCAGCAGGAGAGACAGGAGAGGTCTGCTGGGCCATGTGGGTCACCTCCAGGGCTGGGGATTGAACTCACACTGAAGTGGCTGCAGTTGGCTTGCAGTGCTACGTCCTAACCCGTTGCGCCACCAGGGAGGGCTGAGCCCAGAATTGTTAATGTAGACTAGCCTGCATGGCCCAGGATCCCAGGTAGGACACTTCCAGAGCTGAGAAGCCCCCTTCCAAGGGGGCAAAGGCCAGACTCTGGACTAAGTTACCCAGGGGGGCACACTAAGAAGCCCAATTTTGGATGTATAAACTTAGACTAGATGTGCCGCCTCTTCAGCAGGATCTTCCCTCCCTGGCCCCAGAGTGATGCCCTCTTCCTCTTGCAGCAGGCCTGAGCCGTGCTGGGCTCCCATTCGGGCTGATGCGCCGGGAGCTGGCATGCGAAGGTTACCCCATTGAGCTGCGGTGCCCAGGCAGTGATGTCATCATGGTAGAGAACGCCAACTATGGGCGCACAGACGACAAGATCTGCGATGCCGACCCATTTCAGATGGAGAATGTGCAGTGCTACCTGCCAGACGCCTTCAAGATCATGTCACAGAGGTGAGGGGCTGTGCCCTGCCGTGCTCCCAGGAGCATGGGGTGGTGGTTCCTGGGGTCCCTGAAATAAAGATTCTGTCCTCCATCTACCCCCCTGACAGTACTCCCCACTTAGCTGAACTCTCCCTTCTATGCATTCAGTATTCATTTCCCTGTGCAAACAGCAAATAAAACTGAACCCATCCCTGCCCAGCTTCCTCCCTGATGTATTTGTGCCCTGCCCTGCCTCCCCTCATACTCACACACACCCATGAGCCTCTAGACTCTCATTCCAAGATTAGTAGGGGCTATGAGAGTTTGCAAAATGATAGCAATGTCAGGCTGATGAAGGTGTCACGGGAGATCTTTCACCCAAACTTGAGAGATCTGGCCAGCCTTCCCTGAGGAGATAACATGTAAACACAAACTACAGAACTTTATGCACATTCACGTGTAACAGCATGAACATGTGTTTAAATGTGCAAGATTGTGTCTTAGCACGCATCTGTGTCTATACTGTGTTGGAGTCTGCGTGTGAGAGAGTGAGCGTTTACACCAGAGTGAGGCTTGAGGGTGCAGAGCTGCAGTCTCTCAAGCCCAGTTAGATCTGGTCAATTCTTCATTTAAATGATAGCCATCTGACCACTACTTCACCACCAAATCTTTGCTCTTTGCCCCTTCTTGCATGATACAGTCTGTTCCTCCCACAACCACAAGAGGGCGACTGTGAGCCAGAGTCCAGGCACTGCCTTCTGCTCAGAGCCTTCCTTTGGCTCCCACTTCACTCAGCTAAAAGCCCAAATCTTCCCCAACGCCTTGCATACTCTCCCTCAACCTTTCTTACCCATCACCTACTCTCTTCATATTCTCTCAGTTCCAGCCATCCCACTTCCTCTTATACACATCAGGAATCTCCCTACTCAGGCTTCCACTAACCTTCACATTGGCTGTTACCCCTGTCTGGGAACTGTTCCCCACCGTACATGATTCCTCCCTCCCCTCACTGAGGGATTTTCGTACCTAACTGTTCTCTCAGAAAAGCTTGCCCAACTACCGTCTCTAAAATCACATCCCTCCACTTTCTCACCCCTTCCCTGTTCTATCGCTCTCCTAGCCCTGACTTCCATCCATAGTTCTGTCAGATATATTTTCCCTCTTCATCACATTTATTTTCACTCTTCTCTCACCAGGCTACCAGCCCCATGGGGGACAGGGAGTTTTGTCTGTCACCACTGTGTCCACAGACATACACACAGCAGGCACTCACTGAACTGTTGCTGAGTGCCAGGAGAGTGCAGGGTTCATACCAGGACCTAAGACTGAAAAGGGAAGGAGGACTAGGACTGATTGTACAGCTCTCTGAATGCCAGCAGAGGATTCTGGAATGTGTCTCTGGGCTGGGCACCAAGAACCTCCAGAAAGTAGTGCCGCGGGATGAGCTGGACTGGGGACCTCTCCCCTCCTTCCTGTCTCCTGACACCTCTGTGTGGGCAGTGGTGGTGTAGGCTCCTAGTGTTTGTCAGGCTGTGCCGCATTCTGGGAAAGCCCTGTCCTCCTCTCTCCTGCCACTTCACTCATTCATGGCTTCCATGTCTGTCGTGTTCCCCATGGTCTCTGGTACACTTAGTATAGCAATTAGCCCAGTTTTGATGCTCCTGGACTCTTAGAGGGAGACGCTGAGTAATGTGGTTACTAGGGCCAAGGGAACATGAGGTGGCTGCGGCTTCACTGTCTGAAAGCCTAAAGCTCTTCATATGACTCTACTGCCCCAGAATAAATACAGTGACCGACCTAAACAAGACGGGAGTTGAGAAGACCCTCGGCACCCACTTTCCCCCTCGAGAACAGCCCTTTAAAGCCCACGGCATCCCCATTCCACCTCCATGGCCAGAACTTGGTCACAGGGAGGGTGAGAAATGTAGACACCAACTGCTGGAAGGCCAGCAGTTTTCTTTTTTCTATATATTGAGATAACATTCACCATTTTACATTTAGTGACATTTTGCACATTCACATTGTCACTCAACCATCATCCCTAATTCCAGAACATTCCATTAGACCAAAGGAAACTCGGTTCCTGTTAGCTGTCATTCCCACCAACATGACAACCACCAGTTTGTTTTCTGTCTCTGGACTTGTCTGTTCTGGGCCTTTTGTATAAATGGAATCATGAAACGTGTGGCCTTCTATGTCTGGCTTCTCTCAGTGTCATGTTTTCGAGGTTTAGCCATGCTGTAGTGCGTATCATGGCCTCACCTCTTTTTATAACTGAAGAATAAATAGTCCATCATCTGGAAGGACCATATTTTGTTTATCCATTCGTCCACCAGTAGGCACTCGGGTGGTTTCCACCTTTTGGTGATGTGTGAATGATGCTGCTGTGAACATTTATGTACAAGTTTGAGCACCAGATTTCAGTTCTTTTGGAAAAGTACTGGAGACAGAATTGCTGGGTCATGGCTAACTGCTGAGCCTCCTGAAGCCAGTGCTTTATTTTTCAGGAAAGGGTGAGGTGGGTAGATATGGGCAGATTCTTCTCACCCCTTAGCCCCTCACCCGTGGCTTTCTCTCTCCCTTTCTGCTGCACCCTTAGCCCTTTTTCAGGTGGCCACCTTGGTGTTGAGCACTTACTGGTTAAGGGTAGATCTGAGGAGACCAACAAAGGGCCCCCTTCAGCCCTATATCTGTTAATGATGTCCCTTCAACCACTTCTTATATGCCTATGGTCTAGTCGCTTATTCTGGTCAAGACCTGGCCCATTCCAGGAAACAGAGCCTCTGACAGACAGCAGAGGGGAATCATCTTGTTGTTAAGTAGATCTTCCATTATGTGGTAGCCAGCATCCTGAGGACTTGGTGGGGACTCAGGGGAGTCCCCTCTGGGGAACTGAAATTGCTTTACAATGAGGTAAAGGCTCCATCCCTCCTCGTGGTAGTGCTGTCCAAAGGGCAGGATGTTTCATGGGAGGGCCCGCTTGGATACAGGCAGGATGGACAGGGTAGGCATTTCATTAATAGTATGTTTGCAGAAGTACCGCCTCCCATGAGAGGCTTCGCATATCTTCCTCTTCTGTGGACAAAGGATGGGCCTTACAGTTAATTTCGGGAAAATACCAAGGATGTAAAGCTACTGCTGGTTCATTCAGATAAGGTAAAGGTGATGAAGGGTGGCGAAGGAATCCCTGCGTGTGGGGCCTCTGACCTCTGAGCTTGCTGCTATATTGATTCCTGTCTGGTGGGAAAGAGAAAGTGGACAGGAAACAAAATAACACCCATGAAATAACCCCTGGCCCTTCCAATTTGGGACTGTCCATTCCTCTCCTGACTCTGGAGGCCTCCCCCATCCCATTCTAGGCCTGTCTTTTCCCAGCTTCCTGTCTCTCCTCTGCAGGTGTAACAACCGCACCCAGTGCGTGGTGGTGGCCGGCTCTGATGCCTTTCCTGACCCCTGTCCTGGGACCTACAAGTACCTGGAGGTGCAGTACGACTGTGTCCCCTACAGTGAGTCATCTTGTTCCTCGTGCAGATGTGGGCCCTCCCCCTCCCAGAAGTGAGTGAGGAGGAGACACCTTGAACCCACCCCCATCATACACACTCACAAGCCCATAGGGGAACAGCCTGGACTACCCCCTCCCTCACAGTATCCTCTCCGTGACACCTTTGTCCACACTCCACCCCACCTCACCACCAACCCTCACAGACGCTGTTCCCTTCACAGGAAGGGCACCTTTTCTGACTATTGTTACCTGGCCCACTCACCCTGCTTCCTCATGTGCCCCTGGCTCCTTTACACTTTCAGGATGACATTCTCATCCCCTCCTCTTCTCTCCCTAGACCTTGACTCCACCATCCTCTGATACCTCTACCTTCATCCTCTCTGACACCCTTTTCCTCCCCGACCCCCTGCACGTGTCTGCTCTCCCTTTCACTCGCCCTGCCTCTTCTCTCAACTGCCTCCCTCTCCCCTTGTCCTCTCACCCTTCACATGCCCCCAGACGTGCCCCTCCCATCCTGGAAGGTGGACTCCCTATATCCATAGAGACTTGGTGGCCAATCTGGTGTGAAGCACTGGAGGCCCATCCCACAGATTCCTACCCCCTGACTGGTTTCCCTAATAGTGCTTCCTATATACAGAGGAAGTACCACCATGTTAAACTGGGGGTGGCCCCAGGAGGTTAGAAGATGATTTTGGGAGCCAGGTGCCCAACATTTCTTGTATCTGGCCTAGGGGAGCAGACAAACACAAGGTCTCTCCTCCTCAACACACCTCCCTTAATATCACCCTTCTTTTCTACCTTCGCTTTCCCCTCCCTTCTCCCCATCATCTGTTCCCATCTCCCCTACCCTCAGCTTCATTAGCCAACCTGGAGGTAGGGCCTCTGGGCAGAAGGGGGAGGAGGCAGGGCCACCAGGGTGTTTGAATGTGGGGAGGCAGGGGTGGGGGAGCAGGAGGCCCTGTGAATCTCCCTCCTCTCCCCTTCCACCCCAACCTTCCCTTCTCTACCCACAACCTTTGATTTCTCCTTGCAGGTGGTGACTTCGCTAGGAAATGGATTGCTTATGTGCTTCTATAACTTTCTTCTTTCACTCCTCCCCCTTTCCTTTCAGCCACCTAAGGAGGCTCCAGCCACTACCTGAGGGGAACACCCAAATGATCCTTGAAGCCTCCTCCACAGCACTGGGGACACAGCCCACTCCCGTCCCTGGGGCAGCAGGGAAGGAGGGCGGGAACGTGGCAGCATAGCACAGCAGGGAAATCAGGCTGGGTTCCAGGCTCAGCACAGGCTCTTGAATTTTCTGGCTCTGAAAGTTGAGCAAAGGACTTCGTTTCCCAGACCATTGTAGAAGGAAGCAAGAGTCAAGGAGCTCATGTGTGCAGAGCCCTGCCCAGGGCCGGCCACAGAGCCTGCCCTCGGGGGCAGGGTGCTGGTATGCACTCCACAGGCAGAGGCATCATCTCCACCCCTCAGCGCCCAGACCCAAGGCTGGTTCAAGTTGTGCTCAGTCATGGCACAAGGCCCTTCCAGGCTGCCTCAGCCAGTATCTTCGTCCGTGACAGGAGAGGGAGTCAAACATCTCCCCTGGGATGCTGTCAGGAGTAGAGAGAATGTGAGTAAGCTTCTTGTGTGACGGAAATGGTGCCTCTCTTTGCCAGTGATGTGGCCTTGACCATGTTGCTTCACTGAGTCTTAGTTTCCCATCTGTAGACAGGGTTCTGGAAAAACTGTCCTCAGAGTGCCTAGCAGGGTTGCCAGACACTTGTGCCATGGCCTTTGTTGTGACTACTCTTAGTGATCTTCATCAATGATTATGGCTATGAGCCAGTGATTACCAGTGAGGCAGACTCTGAGCTAAGGGCAGGGATAGGTTGAGTCCAAAGCAGGTGGATACCAGGCGGGTAAAGCGGCAAGGATAGCATCAGAGGCCCAGGGGAGACAGTGGCATCGAGAACTCCTGTAGCCCAGCCCCTGAGTGTGGGCTGGGGGCATGACCCACAAGTTCAAGGGCTTTGGACAAGGAGGGCAGGTCAGCCCAAGGAATGCTTGGAGAGAGCTAGCCTGAGACCAGTGAAGGCGGGATTCACACACACACACTTGCAGTGGAGATGGGAGGCACACGGGCCGTTTATGCAGAGCAGGGAGCAGAGCTGGCTTCTGATTCCAAAGAAGAGAGCTGTTTTGCAAAGGTGATGGAAGTGAGGCCAGAGGACAGGGATGTTGGGCACACACTTGTCCCCCAAATGTCACTGAGCACCTCCTGTGTGCCAGGCCCTGGGTGAGGCACTGGGAAAGAGCCAGACATTGCCCTTGTGAAGCCCCCTGCTTCAGCTTCAAAGAAGTGGCAGGAAAGGGAGCCCTGGGGCAGAGGTTCCTTGAGGAACCAGGGACAGAGCCTGGGGCCTGGAAGGAGGGGTCTGGGCAGCCATCTTGCCTGGGCCTCAAAGGCTGGGGTGACCCCAGTGCTGGTGCAGGCGAGTCAGGTGGATACAGGAACCACCATGGGGAAGGGACATGGGGTCTGGAACCCCACATACTGGACAGGCCCAACTAATGCTGGATTTGCCTTGCAGCTGAGCACAGTCTAACCGCGCCTCCTTCCTCCCCCAGGTGCCACCGGTGGGCAGCGGAGCTCCCAGCTCCTGGGTCCTGGGGGTTGATAACAAAGAGACTGAGCCTCAGGCCTGCCCCGGGGGAGCGTGGGAGCGTATATGTGCCCCCACCTGCTGTCCCACCCTGTCTGTGGCGTCTACCCACCCCAGCCTCTTCCCCACTGCCTCTGTTTCCCCTTCCTGGCTCTCTGAGGCCCTGAGGGCTCTGCCTGGCCCTCCCCACCACTCGGTGCCCGGTGCCCGACTGAGCAACCCTCTCTTTGTGTCGGCTTTTCCTGGGTTGGGAGGCTTGGGAGGTACTTAGCTGGACTCGGGGCAAGCCGGCATAGAAAGGGAAGGAGTTCAGCCCCTGCTCTTGACTCTGGGTACCCAGGCCACAGGAGGCACTGAACCCCCTCTCTTGGAGCCCCTGGTTCTAGCATGAGGGCAGCCAGCAGGGCTGGAAGGGATCTGAGTGGTTCCTCCATCCCCGACTCCCTCCTTGGTGCCCCACCCCCAAACCAGAGCCCGCCTCCCAGCTGGGGTTCCCCTCCTGGATCCCCAGGGCACTGACCTGAGGAGGCCCTTCCCATCAGAGGGCTCAATCCACCTGCCTGCCTGTACCCCCCTCCCTATGTCTCTCTCGGTCTCTGTCCTCCCAAGTGTCTCCCCTTCCCTGTGACTGTCTCCCTGACACCCTGTCGCCCCCACCCTACCCCAGAGGAAGGGACTTGGGGGTGGGGGCTGAGCTAATGCTGTCTTTCGGGGTTGGGGAAACAGGAGTGAGGAAGGAAAGGAAAAAGGGGCATGTTGGCAGAAAAGAAACGAAAGCAATTTAATCTCTTTTTTTCTCTTTTTTTCTTGCACATTTTTTTTTCAATTTGTTTTCTCTCTCTCTTCCGATGCTTAAAGTAGAAGTGGAGCAGAAAGGTAAACGGACTGTTACCAATGCTAACCCCTAACTCACACCTTGTTCTACCTGTACCATACTTATGTGCCCGCCCTCCCCTCTCAGCCCCTTCTTCTCCCCTCCAACTTGGTCCAGTCGATGTATCTCCCGCCCCGGGTGTCCTCCTGGTGGGGCAGCCCTGGCGCTGCCACGGCCACTCCACCTGCAGACACCCGAGGAAGCTCTCCTCGAGCGCGGGCAGGACCGCTCTCTGCCCCACCCCGTCTGTCTCTCCTGTCTCCCCTTCCTAGTCCCTGGCCCTTGCGGGTGACCCGGCCTTCTCTCACACTTCTTTTGCCTCCTTCAGGAAAAGTGTGTAAGCATCTGGGGCGGGAAGGGAGGGAGGGACCCCTTCCCTGGCTCCTGACCGGGGGTTGGGGGTGAACTGGTGAGACATCTCTCTCCTCTCTTCTTCCTCCCCCAACTTTTGTAACAAGTATCTGGTTTGGGGGGAGGTGGGATGGAGGGGAACACCTTTGTTTTCCTTTCGGGGAGCAGATTCCTCCTTTCTCGGGCTCCTGGTTCTTTCTGGTTTGGCGTTTCCAAGACCCAGAGCTGTCTGGAGCACAGAGCATCAGTTCCCCTGCCCTTGACCCCCATTCTTAATCAGCTGGGGGGGGGGGCAGCCAGGGAGGGAGTGGTGAAGCTGTCCCCTATCCTGGGAGAGCAGCCGCCAAACTGGGGGTCAGGGGTTGGGGGTGGGCCTCATGGTGTGGGGAGCGAGGGGTGGGGGAGCATTTTTCTCTGGTGTGAAACACTTGCGAAGCTGCAGTCAGGGTTTCTTCTGGGCTGTCGTGGTTAGAGACCAGGGAACTGGTATGGGGAGGTCTAGGCTGGATCTGGGGTTTTCCTGGAGCACCGTAATTTCTTACCTGTTAACTCCACAGTGGGTGGTGCTGGCTTGTGGGAAGAAAGGCTTACAGCACAGGGTTTCTGGGTGGAATGGCAGGGATGGTCATCTCCTCCCCTGAAAGTTTCAGAAAAGTATCAGCTCAGAGACTTAACAGCAGGGGGCAGGGCTGAGTGAGCTGGCCTTTCTAGAAGGCTTCTGCCTTGAAATTACGGTGGTCTTTGGAGCATCCCCTTTGAGGGAGGTGGGTTAGGGCCCCTCCAAGCTGCTCCCCTCCTCCTGCCCACCCCCACCTCAGAGAGGCCTGGGCAGTAGCACCCCAACACTCTCCCTCTTGTTTCTGGAGTCTCCCGCCCAGCACCAGTCTTCTTGCAAGTCTGTTGGTGGTTTGTGGTTTGCAGTCCTGGATCTTTTTCTTGGGGGAGGGGGCGAGGGGAGGAGGGGCACAGGACTATTAGAAACTTGGTGCTAGGGAGCGGTCCTTACTGTCAAAAGCCTCAGGCAGACCCGTCCTCATCTTTTCCCCTTTGCTCCTTGGTAACCTCTAACCAATTTTCCTCGTCCACACCTGACCAGTCCAGGCTCTGGGCCTCCCACTCCCTGCACCTACACACAAGCACTCCAGATACTCTCAGCGCTGGCAGGGAGCACTTGGGGAGAGGGCAGACTCAGGAGGTCAGGTGTGTTGGACAGGAGGTGTAGGCCAGCCCCCCAGGGCATGAGGGACTGGCAGGTAGATGGTCCAAGCTAGGCTGGGGTCCCACCCAAGCCCTCCTCCCCCTCTAGAATAGCTCCTGACTGCTTTGTGCCTGGGATCCCTTGGACCAAGCTGTCCCTGATGCTGTGAGGGGGAAACTGGTGCCCCTCCCCCACCTAACCTGCTGAAGAGTGAGGCTGGGAGTGGGGATGAGGGGTGGCTCCTGTCTAAGCCCCTCTTGTCACTAGGGCTGCCCCCCAATCCTGTGCCAGGTCCCAGCCTTCCCCCGACTCCCCAGAGGCCAGCTTTGGTGACAGACAAGCAGGAGCAGAGAATTCACTGCAAACCCTCCCCCTGGCCTGTAGTGGGTGCTAGCCGGGAGGCCAGAGGGAGGCTCCAGGCCTCCAGGATGGAGGGGCGGGGTGGATGGGCGGGGCCGGTGTCTGGACATCAGCACTCTGGGAGCAGGCAGGAAGGAGCCTGGCCATACTGACCGGGAGAGTCCAGACCCCTGCCAGGTCAGGAAGGGGTGGCTAGGAGTAGGTGGCACTGGGATGTGACGGGGGCAAGGGTGGGCAGGCCAGCGGCGGCCAATGAGATGCAGTTGAGGTTTTCCTCCTTTTCAGGGAATGGGGGGGTGGGGCGGGGCCCCCCACCTTTCTGACATCAACGCTGCCTTGGTCCCTCCTCCCGAGCCGGGGATGGTTACAGGTAAATCGGGGTCCGGGGTAGGGGAGGTGGGGGGCTTGGCTGGGGCGGGCTGGGTCTTTATCCTAGCACCCGGTTCCCTCCCTTGTCCCCTCTCTGAGCTGGACCTGGGACTGCTCCCCGAGGGACCCTCAGTCGGGCCGGGCCTTGGAGTGAATTCTCTGCTCACCCCCTCTCTCCTTCGCCAGCACTAACCCTTTCTTCCCAGGTGGTCTCCAGCGTGCCTCCCTCGGAGCCAGGACCTTGCTGAGGCCCCTCCCAACCTTGTCTCTCTTCCCTCCACGCAGCTCTCCTTCCCTTCCCCATTCTCCTGGGAAGCCCCTTCCCTCCCCCTGACTCCACTCCCCACCCCTGTGCACCAGTGTCAGTCTGCTGCTGAACAAACCCCATGAGAGACCCTGCCGGCTGGGAGCAGGGCCAGTGCCCTCAGGGAGGGGCTGGATTTTTTTCAAAAGCCCTTTCTCTTCCTGGGCTACCAATTGTGTGGGTATTGGAGGGGGGCGGTGATACAGGCTTCATCAGGAACCTTGGGCACCTTCCCCCACCATGGAATGGGGGGGGGTACCCCTGACATCCACAGTGGTGCCTGAATCATCACTCTACCTTGCAGTTTTTGCAGGAGGAAGAAAGTGGAGTTAAAATTTTTGTGTGTGTGTCCTGGTGTGATTGGTGAAGGATGGGACCCTCAACCCTAGCTTTTCCATAGGGTGGTGCAGATGATGGCGAAGGGTGGGGTGATAAGTCCCTACAACCTCCAAGCTGCCAGGTGCTGCAGTGTGGAGAGATTTCTACCCCCTTCACAGCACAGGGAACAATCTAGGAGAGCTCTTGCCAGCCTCCTTATCCCCAGCCTGTGGGGTCTCAAGCAGCTAGGGAAGGAAAGAGGGGCACCATCTACTCCCTCTCCCCCCACTAACCCTGCTCTTACTGGCCTCCAGGGTTAACATTTCCAGGGAGAGGGGCAGCTGGGTGGGGCCGGGGTCCCAGCCTGGAAACCCCTTTCCCATCACCAGCCCTACCAAGCAACCGTGACTGCAGCAGCAGGAGGGGACAGCCTGGCGCCCCCCAGCCACGTGACCAACTTGCCTCTCTCTCCCCTTCTCTCCCCACCTCTCGCACCTGCTCCTTTTCCCACCACCCCTATCCAGTCTTCGTGTGCCCAGGGACCCTGCAGAAGGTGCTGGAGCCCACATCGACGCATGAGTCAGAACACCAGTCTGGGGCATGGTGCAAGGACCCGCTGCAGGCAGGCGACCGAATCTACGTCATGCCCTGGATCCCTTACCGCACCGACACGCTAACCGAGTACGCCTCATGGGAGGACTATGTGGCCGCGCGCCACACCACCACCTACCGCCTGCCCAACCGCGTGGACGGCACGGGCTTCGTGGTCTACGACGGGGCTGTCTTCTACAACAAGGAGCGCACGCGCAACATTGTCAAGTATGACCTGCGCACGCGCATCAAGAGTGGGGAGACGGTCATCAACACCGCCAACTACCACGACACGTCGCCCTACCGCTGGGGTGGCAAGACCGACATTGACCTGGCGGTGGACGAGAACGGGCTGTGGGTGATCTACGCCACGGAGGGCAACAACGGGAGACTGGTGGTGAGCCAGCTGAACCCCTACACGCTACGTTTCGAGGGCACCTGGGAGACCGGCTACGACAAGCGCTCGGCATCCAATGCCTTCATGGTGTGCGGCGTTCTCTACGTGCTGCGGTCTGTGTATGTGGATGACGACAGTGAGGCCGCCGGCAACCGCGTGGACTACGCCTTCAACACTAACGCCAACCGCGAGGAGCCCGTCAGCCTGGCTTTCCCTAATCCCTACCAGTTCGTCTCCTCAGTCGACTACAACCCCCGGGACAACCAGCTGTATGTCTGGAACAACTATTTTGTGGTGCGCTACAGCCTGGAGTTCGGGCCTCCCGACCCCAGCGCTGGTGAGGATGGCACAGAGCACTGCGCTCCCGGGCCCAGGTCCCAGCATGGGGGGCACGTTCTGTAAGCTCTGGGGGATCTGGAGGTGGGTCGGGAGTCCCGGAGTTGGGAGTCAGGTTGTGGAAAGCAGCACAGTTAAGGCTTCTCATGTGGTCGATGAGAAGAATTGTTTCTTCCTTTACAGATGAGAAAACTAGGGGAGGGTTAACTTGCTTACTAGAGAATGTGGACCCAGGAATCTGGGCTCTAACTGCTAGGCTGCAGGGCCTCTCCCAGCAGCCTGTGCACTTTTAGTCCTGGCGTTCTGGGTGGTTTTACCTTCTCAGCTGCCCACACTGGCTCTGAGCAAACCCAGGGCTCCGAGAAGCCCAGTTGCAAAAGAGGGCAATGAGGTACCCATAGGGAAGGTACATGCCAAGGAGACAGAGAACAGGACAAGAATGCAACAAGGAGAGGAAGTGACTGTGTTCAGCAATCCTGACAGTTCCTTCCTGGCCTGTCTTTCGCATAGCTCAGGCCTCAGGTGCGTGCAAGTAAATATTTATCACCTTTCAGTGCTTTGGAGTGACCCATGTTTGTCAGGGACCTCAGTGGACAGAAGTTAGAGGACATCTCTCACACCTGGTGGAAGTAAGCAAGGATCTCAGTAAGCAAAGATTATGCTAGGATGGCCAGGAGCCACCATGCTGGGGTACACTGTGGCAGGGCCCCATGAATGGGGTGATGTGTCATACTACCTCTCCCTTCCAGGCCCAGCCACATCCCCGCCCATCAGCACAACCACTACCGCAAGGCCCACACCTCTCACCAGCACAGCCTCACCTGCAGCCACCACCCCGCTCCGCCGGGCACCCCTCACTACGCACCCTGTGGGTGCCATCAACCAGCTGGGACCTGACCTGCCTCCAGCCACAGCCCCAGCCCCCAGCACCCGGCGGCCCCCAGCCCCTAATCTGCACGTGTCCCCAGAGCTCTTCTGTGAACCTCGAGAAGTACGGCGGGTCCAGTGGCCTGCCACGCAGCAGGGCATGCTGGTGGAGAGGCCCTGTCCCAAGGGGACTCGAGGTAAGTATAGAGGCCATGGTTATCTTCACTGCAATGACTTGGGAGGGCAGCCATTCCTGGTCTGACCAGGGAAGGGCTGGGTGACACGCTTGGATGCACTTCATCTCCATCTATCTTGCCAGAGTGTGGGCTCCATGTAGGCGGGCACACCTGACATCTACCAGTGCCCCCAGGGCCCAGTACAGCCCCCAGGGCACAGTGGCAGCTCATTCAGTCCCCTGTCCCTTCCTGAAGCACTGAGTACCTGCAGTATGTGGAGTTCAAGGCATACCCTACAGGGACACCCTGGGAAATGACTTGGGTCCTGAATTCAGTATGAAACAAAACAGTCTTGGAATCAGCCCATGGCAGAACAGAGCATCTGAAGTGCTGAAGGGGGTGGGGATTGGGCTCATGTGCTCCAGGGACCCCAAGGGAGGGTAAGAAGAAACTTACTAGCAACAGCTTCCAAGATTAGCTTTGCTAGAAGGTCCACATTCTAGTAGCAAAGCCTGAGGGGAGGCAAGAGGGTAAACTTAGGAAAATGAGAGTGGCTTATGTCACCTCAAAGTGACACCGCTCTTGACTGTCTGGCCCGCTTCATGTCTGTTCTTTCATGTTCCCCACATCCCTCTCCTCACCCACTGTCCCCCTCTCTGGCATCTCCTTCCCCTACTTTGGCCCACCCACTTCTCCTCCCTGTGGCCCCTTCTCTGTTCCTGTCCGTCTGTCCCTGCAGGAATTGCTTCCTTCCAGTGTCTACCAGCCCTGGGGCTCTGGAACCCCCGGGGCCCTGACCTCAGCAACTGCACCTCCCCCTGGGTCAACCAGGTGGCCCAGAAGGTACCAGCAGCCGCCATCCCCCAAGACAGGCACATTTGCTTGAGCACTGGGCCCCAGAGATACAGAGCATGGTGGGGCAGGTCTGGGATACTGGACTACACAACCATAGTGGGCCAGGTCCCTCCCTGCCCTACAGAGGGAGCAGGGGCAGAGGGAGGGAGAGGGCAGACAGGGCGAATGGGTAGTAGAGAGAGGGCCTAACAGCCCAGCATGTGTGAAAAGGGACTACGGGGAAGCAAGCAAAATAGTCCTGACAGAGCCGGGGCCCCACTCCAACCTCATGCAGATTAAGAGTGGGGAGAACGCAGCCAACATCGCCAGTGAGCTGGCCCGCCACACCCGGGGCTCCATCTATGCTGGCGACGTGTCCTCCTCTGTGAAGCTGATGGAACAGCTGCTGGACATCTTGGACGCCCAGCTACAGGCCTTGCGGCCCATCGAGCGAGAATCAGCTGGCAAGAATTACAACAAGGTGGCCCTGGCTGTTACAGAACCTCTGCTGCGGGGCAGGGGGGTGGGGGCAGGGTACTCCCTCCTTCCTGAGTAGTCCTGAGGATTGGGGATCACTTAAGAACAGCTCTTGCTGATGGCCCAGCCTAGGTCACAGCAGGTACAGAAAAGCAAATTCGCTGGGGCTCCAACATGAGTGTTGGGTTAAGAAAGTAGGCCTGATCACCTCTGTCTCTCCCCAGATGCATAAGCGGGAGAGAACATGCAAGGACTACATCAAGGTAAGACCCATGGGGCTAGTTCCATGGGGGTTAGAACCCTGGCCACTACTGGGCAACCCCCAGGCAGAAAGAAAATTCAGTCCATCCTAGGGAACTAGAAGACTTAGGGGATTGGAGGCCTTATGGTGCCACACCTCCCTGCCCCCCCCCCCCCCCCTTGCAGGCTGTGGTGGAGACGGTAGACAACCTGCTGCGGCCAGAGGCACTCGAGTCCTGGAAGGACATGAATGCTACAGAGCAGGTGCACACGGCCACCATGCTCCTGGATGTCTTGGAAGAGGGTGCTTTCCTGCTGGCTGACAATGTCCGGGAGCCTGCCCGCTTCCTGGCTGCCAAACAGAATGTGGGTGAGTTTTCAGCATGATGCTGGGCAAGCTTGGGCACTAATTTGGAACCATGGGACCCGCCAGAAACCCCAGGGGAGGTTATCACATCAGCCCTTGACCTTGGGGCTGTGGCAGCAGGGCCCCATTCGGCAGAACTCTTAATGGGGGAAGACCTCAGCCACATATCACCTACCATCCCCTGTCCCCACAGTCCTGGAGGTCACCGTCCTGAACACCGAGGGCCAAGTGCAGGAGCTCGTGTTCCCCCAGGAGTACCCAAGCGAGAACTCCATCCAGCTCTCCGCCAATACCATCAAGCAGAACAGCCGGAACGGTTAGTGCCCAGCCCTGCCCTGGCATCTCTACCCCACTTACTCAGTGGGTTCTTTTTTTTTATATAATGGCTTGTTTTTACATCATTTTGTACCTTTCTCCACCTTAGTTGTAATCCCCGTGGGCTTCCCATCACCATATCACCCGTGTGCCATCACCACAGTCCAGTGCACTTCCCTCCCTCCAATTTTTTTTTAAAAGATCTATTTGTTTATTCATATAGAATTGGGGTAGAGGCCAGAGATGCGGAGGGTGAGAGGATTCACCAGAGACAGAGCGGGGAGCAGAATAGGCAGATCAACGCAGTACACTGCTGAGGGGAGCAGCGGGCAGGCTAGGAGAGGTCTGCCATGCCATGTGGATCTCCTCCAGGACAGGCGGGAACCGAACGCATGCGGAAGTGGCTTTTAGCTTCTTAGTGCTGTGCTTTAACCCACTGCGCCACCAGGGAAGCCCCTCCCTCCATTTTTGATCCCATTCCCCACTCCACCCCCGTAAAATGTCTGGTATATAATTAGAACAGTGGTTCTTTTATTGAGTGGAAGAAATTGAGGAAAGGTTGGAACCTGTAATAACGCACAGAGATGACCTCCACTCACTCAGGTAGTGGCATTTCAGGGGACTTGTGGGTCCTCCGGAAGTACTACAGAGACCAGGACACTGCCATTTACAGGGCTCACTCATGCAGAGTGATCTGGTTGATCTCCCAGCTCAGGGAGAACCATCTCGCTGAGTTCTCTAAAGCTCAGAGAGCTTAGGGATTTTCTTGAAGTCACACAGTCAGAGGTAGCAGGGGACCCAGTCACTGTATCCTGGCTCACTGCCCTGCCATTTGGAACCCCTACAACTGCTTGGGGGCCCCCTGGAAGTGCTCCCTAAGCCTCCTCATTGGCATGGCCTGGCTTTAGAGGCTATGGTGCCCAGTGTGGCTGGCAGTATGTTGGCTGATGGCTGACACATACTGCCCCCCCCCAGGGGTGGTCAAAGTTGTCTTCATCCTCTACAACAACCTGGGCCTCTTCCTGTCAACTGAGAATGCCACGGTGAAGTTGGCGGGTGAAGCGGGTGCAGGTGGCTCCGGGGGTGCCTCGCTGGTGGTGAACTCACAGGTCATTGCTGCATCCATCAACAAGGAGTCCAGCCGAGTCTTCCTCATGGATCCTGTCATCTTCACCGTGGCCCACCTGGAGGTGAGTCATGGTTTCCCTCTCCTTCCAGCATCCTGTATCCCTCCACTGTGTGCAAGCACCCAAGAGCAAGGTATGGTCCCTCAGCGACCTCAATCCCGACCTCAGTAGCTTGGACAATTTGTCCCCAGAGAGTCAGATTTTTACCTTCATGAAGCCCAGTGCACTGCTCATGCCTGCTGCTACCCCATGCAGGCTATAGCTGGGTGAAGGGCCTGGAATGGGCTCCCCGGATCTGAACCCCTGCCTACTATACAACAGGTCAAGAACCACTTCAATGCCAACTGCTCCTTCTGGAACTACTCAGAGCGTTCCATGCTGGGCTACTGGTCAACGCAGGGCTGCCGCCTGGTGGAGTCCAATAAGACACATACCACGTGTGCCTGCAGCCACCTGACCAACTTTGCCGTGCTCATGGCTCACCGCGAGATCGTAAGCTGGCTGGCACTCTGCTCCTCCTGGCGGGCCGCTTGCTGGCCTAGCTTTGCATGGCATCATAGAGAGTGCTGCATGAGCAGTGCCAGGGAAAGCCAGCCTCGTGGGCATGGGGGCTGCCAGTCTTGCCGGGGACATGAGGCCACGAGTCTGGTTCTCTCTGGTCACTGCCCCACCTTCTCCCAAGACACTCAGGAGAAGCAAGCTGGTGTCACCTTTGTCATCTCTCCACAAGCCTTCTAGAGCATGAGGAAGTGAGCGCGCCGCCTGCAGTGGGGTGGGGTGTGGCAGGTTCACTGAGGGACAGAAAGCCAGTGCACTGCCTGCAGCTTGGCTGGTAGCTGGCACCTGGCTGAGTCCAGGGTGAGCCTGGCCACAGGCAAGGCCAGAAGTGCTGAGCACGCCCCTGCCCCTGTCCCCCAGTACCAGGGTCGTATGAACGAGCTACTACTGTCGGTCATCACCTGGGTGGGCATCGTGATCTCCCTGGTCTGCTTGGCCATCTGCATCTCCACCTTCTGCTTCCTGCGGGGCTTGCAGACTGACCGCAACACCATCCACAAGAATCTGTGCATCAACCTCTTTCTAGCAGAGCTGCTCTTCCTGGTCGGGATAGACAAGACTCAGTATGAGGTGGGGCGAGGCACAGGGGTGGGGTGGTAGGAGGAGAGGCCACGCCTAGGGCAGCCCCTCACCTGTGCCATTCCCCCTCCACCAGATTGCCTGCCCCATCTTTGCCGGCTTGCTGCACTACTTCTTCCTGGCTGCTTTCTCCTGGCTGTGCCTGGAGGGTGTTCACCTCTACTTGCTGCTGGTGGAGGTGTTTGAGAGCGAGTACTCCCGCACCAAATACTACTACCTGGGCGGCTACTGCTTCCCAGCCCTGGTGGTGGGCATCGCTGCTGCCATCGACTACCGCAGCTACGGCACAGAGAAGGCGTGAGTGGCTCCCTCTCCTCCTTCTGCCTCCCAGCAGTAGCCCAGGCCTAGACCCTCAGGCCACTGGGACCCTTGGGACCACAGGAAGGGCCCTGCCCCTCTCTAGCTGGCCTGATTTCCTTTACAGCTGCTGGCTCAGGGTGGACAATTATTTCATCTGGAGCTTCATCGGGCCGGTCTCCTTTGTTATTGTGGTAAGTTAGACAGTATCTCCAGTATTGTATCTTGGTCATTCATGCAGGCAGACCTTGATCCCAAGCCTCCCCACTCTCCCCAAGTCATTGAAAGCCATTCTAACTGAGCAGCCAGTTCAGAAGATGAGAGCAGAAAGGGTCTATAAGCCGCAGTGTTCAGGTCTGTGCATCCAGGAGCTGTGATTTCAGCCCCTGCCCTGGGTCAGACCGTGGTACCTGGCGGCTCACCAGAGGAGGGGTGACCTCACAGCTCTTGCTGGGAGCCAGTGGACCCAGCCAAGCCCCTGCCCACCCCTCCCGCAGGTGAACCTGGTGTTCCTTATGGTGACTCTGCACAAGATGATCCGGAGCTCATCCGTGCTCAAGCCTGACTCCAGTCGCCTGGACAACATTAAGTGAGCACCACCCTCCCTGCACCCCTGACTCTGACCACCACCATATGGCCTTTCCACAGTTTCCTAAAGTGCCATGCTCTCACCTCTGGTGTCACATTGTGTGATTGTAAGAACAAAGACTGTATTCATTATGCAGCCACTTACCAAGTGGCAGGGCTTTTCAAAAGTTCAAAGGATGAATCCATTTCCAGGGTCCTTAAAGAGGAAAAAAAAAGCAAAATATTGTTTAAGGGCTCTGGAAATACATTAACAGGATGAAAAAGAAGAGGGGAATGACGGTTTGCAAATACCCTGACCCTGATTAAAGTGTCACCACGAGGCCTCATTCCCCTGGGCCTACTCACCTCAGGTGGGCCTTTTGCGGACAGCATCTATGCCCACCTAGAAGAAAGACATGCAGCTAAGCTCTGGGGAGGCTGGCTCACTGACGGGGACCTGGATGTCCCTTGTTCCTTCTCTTCCCCAGGTCCTGGGCCCTGGGGGCCATTGCGCTGCTCTTCCTGTTGGGCCTCACCTGGGCTTTTGGCCTTCTCTTCATCAACAAGGAGTCAGTGGTCATGGCCTATCTCTTTACCACCTTCAACGCCTTCCAGGGAGTCTTCATCTTCGTCTTTCACTGCGCCTTACAGAAGAAGGTGAGGTCAGGAGGGGGCCCAGGACCCAGCCTTCTGCAGTGGAGCCTATGTCTGCCTTGAGGACACCACAAGACTTGGAAGTGGGGGGGCCAGGAATAAAGAGTATTCTGGGAAACAGCAATATGCTATGCCCTAGAGAAATAAGAAAGCAGGAGACTTGGGGAGTTAGGAGAGCACAGGGTAGGATATGATGGCAATGTGGGGCACTGAGCAGGTGACAGGGAGATGACTGTGGGACCACCCAGATAGCACATTTCCATTTTAATAATTCTGGGATAAACTTGTGGTGATAGAAAATTTCCTTTTTAAGTAAAATGTGTTAAAACCTGAATCATAAAAACACAAAGACAGGCCCTCCCTTCTGGTGCAGTGGGTTAAAGCACAGCACTATGAAGCTGTCTGCAGCCACTGCAGTTCAAGTTCGATCCCCAGCCAGGGAGGTGACCCACATGGCGCAGCAGCCCTCTCCTGTCTTGCCCACTGCTCCCCTCAGTAGTGTATTTTGCTCAATCCACCTATTCTGCTCCCCACTCTGTCTCTGTTGAATCCTCTCTCACTGCCCCTGCACCTCTGTACACCAGCTCTTGTATGCATAAATAAACAAATCATTAAAAAAAAACACACACACACACATGAAGGAGCTGGCAGAAGCAGAGGAGTGTTGAGAAGGGCACCCAGACACTAGTTTCCAGGCTAAACCCAAGGAAACTGAACCAAAGAGTCTGTAGCCTATGTCCTGGAAGCAGGGAGAGAGAGGGTTACCAGCAGGTTGCTGGGCAAAGGACCATGACACAGTTAATGTGAAGGATGAAACGCTGACCATCACAAGAGTCCTGGCTGCGGCACGGACTCTCCCTGCTCCACACAAAAATGACCTGTTACCCCATCAAACACGACACCCCTACATGGTCCCCCATGACAGAGTCAAAGCTAGTGCCTTGCACAGCCTCCCCCTCACAGTGATAGTGACGCTCTTCTACGAGCCCTGAGATCCAACCTGGGCTCCTGCCCGCCCTCCCCGCCCCAGCCCTCTCCAGCTCTCCACTGTGCTTTGGGACACCTTGACATGGACTCTCCCCAGAGCGTGTCTCTGCTCCTCCTCGATGGCTGCAGGGCCAGCTGCCTTCTTTCTTTCCATTCTGCCATAATGTCCCCTCATTGTGAGACACCCCCTGTTGAATTTAAATCCCAAGCCACCACCCCACCCCCCCACCCAGCCATAGTTCTCTCCATAGCACCCATCCACAGGCAGACCGCAGTGTGTTGATGTTTGCATTCACTCAGGTCTGTCAGCTGAGGTACCAGCTCTGAGCGGCAGGACTGTGTGTCTGATCCGTCATGCACTATCCCCAGGCTCAAGACTAAACCAGGGGCCAAGAATATGTTCAGTAAAGATGTTGAGTGAATGAATGGGAAATTGTCGGTGGAGGTGGAGAAAGCAGAGTGGCCTGAGCCACAAGAGAGTGATCCTAGCTGACTGGCTGTTGGGGGACAGAAGACAAAGAGGTTTCTGAAGCCCCGGGGAGCTGGGGGTCTGGACTCTCGAGGCCAAGGCCACTGCTAGCCACCTGTCCTCCCTCAGGTGCACAAGGAGTACAGCAAGTGCCTGCGTCACTCCTACTGCTGCATCCGCTCCCCGCCTGGGGGCGCTCACGGCTCCCTCAAGACCTCAGCCATGCGGAGCAATACCCGCTATTACACAGGGACTCAGGTACCTGGGCCAGGTCTGGGGTACCAGGCAGGGCTCCCAGGGGCTGGGTGTTGGATCTGCGAGCCCTAGAGGCCCTGGTCCCCAGTGATGCTCGTTACAGGAGTGGTCTCAGGTAGACCCTGGAGGGTGGGCAGCCCAGGTGCTCCCTTATGACTGGGCTGTGTCCTCAGAGTCGAATCCGGAGGATGTGGAATGACACCGTGAGGAAACAAACGGAGTCCTCCTTCATGGCGGGCGACATCAACAGCACTCCCACCTTGAACCGAGGTGAGATCTCATCCCTTCCCCTGGCTCCAGTCCCCCAAGATTCCAGGGTCTATGTCTCAGCACCACCTTGTGACCTCTCAACTCCTGGGCAGGTACCATGGGGAACCACCTGCTGACCAACCCCGTGCTGCAGCCCCGTGGGGGCACCAGCCCCTACAACACCCTCATCGCTGAGTCAGTGGGCTTCAATCCCTCTTCACCCCCTGTCTTCAACTCCCCAGGTAAGAGCACTTTGGGTGCCAAAAGAGGGCAGCCACCAAGGTCGGGGAACGTGAACCTACCCAGGGCATCCAGTGGGTCTCTCCTGGGGCACAGACCCTGTGTCTTCTGAACTGGAACCCGGACTCGGTATCCCAAGCCCACTCTCACCTTTTCTCTTTTCCTTCCTGGCTGGCACCTACAGGGAGCTACCGGGAACCCAGTAAGTGTGACTCTTTCCTGGTAACATTTCCAAGGCCAGAGGGGATCACGATGATGGCCTTCTCATGTGGCCTCACTTGGGGAAGAGAATTTGGAACACCCCTGGCACATGCATAGTTTCTAGCTTGGTACCTGGCTGGATGTGGTGCCGTAGGGCCTTCGGGTATGGGATGAGGGGAGATGCAGGAGATAGGCCCCCCCCCCCAACTCCCGTCATCTCCCACACTATGCTGAGCTTCTCAGCTCCCAGCTGGGAGGGGGCCCTAGGGGAACTGGTCCCCACCCCTGCTTCTACCACTTTGCTGCTGGGCTGGTATCTCCACTGCCCATGAGGCAGTGAACAGGAGAGGAACAGTGAACAGGAGACCCCACTTGCCAGGGGCAGGGGTGAGCCCAGAGAAAACCAGATGAAGCAGGCGCCCCTCCCCACAGCCTAGCCCTCCTCCTGAGCAGCCCTCTGCCCTGCAGAGCACCCCTTGGGAGGCCGGGAAGCCTGTGGTATGGACACGCTGCCCCTCAACGGCAACTTCAACAACAGTTACTCCTTGCGAAGTGGGGATTTCCCTCCAGGGGACGGAGCCCCTGAGCCACCCCGAGGCCGGAACCTGGCTGATGCAGCCGCCTTCGAGAAGATGATCATCTCAGAGCTGGTGCACAATAACCTGCGGGGTGGCGGCAGCGGAGCTAAGGGCCCTCCACCTCCTGAGCCCCCCGTTCCACCTGTGCCAGGGGGCAGTGGTGAGGAAGAGGCAGGTGGGCCTGGTAGTGCTGACCGGGCAGAGATCGAACTTCTCTACAAGGCCCTGGAAGAGCCACTGCTGCTGCCCCGGGCCCAGTCGGTGCTGTACCAGAGTGATCTGGACGAGTCGGAGAGCTGCACTGCGGAAGATGGGGCCACCAGCCGACCCCTCTCCTCCCCTCCAGGCCGGGACTCCCTCTACGCCAGCGGGGCCAACCTGCGGGACTCGCCCTCCTACCCGGACAGCAGCCCCGAAGGGCCCAGCGAGGCCCTGCCCCCACCCCCACCTGCACCCCCTGGCCCCCCTGAAATCTACTACACCTCTCGCCCACCGGCCCTGGTGGCCAGGAACCCCCTGCAGGGCTACTACCAGGTGCGGCGGCCCAGCCATGAGGGCTACCTGGCGGCCCCAGGCCTCGAGGGGCCGGGGCCCGATGGGGATGGGCAAATGCAACTGGTCACCAGTCTCTGAGGGACCTCAAGGACCAGGGGCTTGGGACCCAGGCCAGGGAGGGGACCCTGGGTGGGCTCTGGTTGGGAGGTGGAGACTGATGGAGGCAGTGGCTGATGGGCCACTCTCTCCAGGTACCCCTCAGCCCTGGGCCCTCCAGGCCCCTCAGGCTCTGCCTCAGGGGTCTGAGGTGCAGGGTTCACAGACAGGGTTTCCCATCAGCTGCACCAGCTCTATTTGGGGGAAGTACTGTGAGGAGGGGCCCAGAGGGCCTGGGGGGTGAGGAAGAAATTGGAAGGGGGTAGCCCACTCTTGACTTCCCTCAGTCCCTACTCTTCATGGCCCCCCCTGAAATGAGGGAAACAAGGGCTTTAGTTTCCCTGGGCCAAGGGCCCCCTTGGAGAGAACCAATCAGCTGCTCCTCTTTCTGCAGTCAGAAATGCTGCAGCTGCAGGAGGGAGCACAGGGGGCAGACTACAGGTTGCTCCTTCACTGCAGTTCACGGCTCCTTGGAAACTAGGGTCTTGGCCTGGGAGAACACCCCAGGGCCAGAGGAATGGGTGATGTGGCTGGTGATTTAAAGTGGAACTTTCTTGAAGCTCCTTCCCTCTGCTCTTGGTCCCTGCCTCCCCAGCAAGCCTCCCCTCAGCCCTCAGTGCACCCAATGACCCCCTCCCTTGGGGTGACTCCTGATGAAGCACAACTCCCCAAAGGGCCCCCAGCCCACAGGGGTGGCCATATTTGGGCAGTGCCCGGTCCTGTGGGCTTGGCTATCTGGGGAGCAGATTTTGGGTCTGGATCTCCCTGGGGAGTGGGTCCTGGGCTGGGATCTTTCCCTAGGGGGCCCTCTTACCCCTTTTCTCTCCTCCTCCCCATTGCTGTAAATATTTCAACAAAATGGAAAAGAAAAAAAGACAAAAAAAAATCTCATCACTTGAAGCAACTGGGAGCCTGCGGCCTGGCCAGCCCGGACTTCCTCCGGAGCAAAGCGGCACCGCCGGGCCCTGGCAGCCAGGACTTCTCCGTGTACATGTGCATCCCCAGCCGGGGTGGGCAGGCCGCCAGAGCAGCTTTTTACAATCCAGAGACAGAAAACAAAATCTAGATGCAACAGCGAAACAAAGAACCCGTTTCCTTCCCGGCACAGTTTCCGTGGCCTCCTCACCCGCCCGCCTGCCCCCCATCCTCAGCCCTCCTGGGGCGTGTACCTCACTGCCTGCCCCAGGACCGGGCCTGTCTCGCTCCTCCCCACTGGTCCCAGGGAGGCACCCTCACACCCAAAGATGCTTTTGCCAAGATGGCTGTGCTATCTCTCTGAGTTCCTGCTTCCTGTATGTTGCTTCTGGGACTCTGGGCAGGGGGAAAGGGGGCTGACTTCCCACCTAGGGGGGTTGATGGGAGAAGGAAAGTAGGGAAGCACTGGGCACTGAGGACAGTGTGGTGTGACGGTGACTGAGGAAGGAGGACTGAGGGGCAAGGTTGTCTTTCCTCTCTGGAGGGCAGTGCAGGTGAGAAGTCATCTTTCCTGCCCTTCATCTGCTGGCTACCAGGGTCTGCATTCAGGACATCCTCGTTCTGGGGGCTCAACCCCAAACTCAAAGGCCCTAAAAGTTTCAGGCATGGGATGTCTCTGAGTAACCTCTCCTGGTCCCTCTTCCAGCCTACCACCTGGGTCCTCCCACCCCCCTCCAAACTCTGGGGGCTAGTGTAGTCCTAATGCCACATTAACCCAGCCCCATCATTACCATTTCCCCAGGGGTGACGCTTCACCTCTGCTCTGACCCCTCCCTGTCTCTTTTGCCCCTCCCTGTTTTCTCACAAGTGCCATGAGTTTTAAAACATCTTCGGGTCTCAGCCTGCTGCTGCCATGAACTTCTTTGGGTTAAGGGGGAGGGGCTCTAGGGAGGAACTGGGGGAAAGGGAAGGTAGGTGACTGGAGGGACCCTTTTGCTGCTAGAAAGCCCCTCCCTTCTGGGGAGCTGGGGCTGGCTTGCCCTTATCAGGGGAGAAGGGGTCAGACCAAAGATCTAGGTTTGTCCAGTGTCGGGGAGCAGGTGGGAGATAGTAGGGTTGGGCTGTCTGGTAGGAAGGTGTTTAACCTTTCACCAGTAAACCATGAGTGAGGTCTAGATGGGAAAAGTAAAAATGGAAACAGTCTTGGCTCTGTGAGGAGGGCGGGAGACAGCTCCTTGGCTATCCTTGGCTTTACTGGGCCAGGGGCTCCATTGGGGGTGGCTAGAGGCCTGAGAACTGCAGGAGAGGGTAAATGGAGGGGCTGGCCCTGCCCAGTGTCAGCCCAGCTAGATCAAGGCTCCCTCTGACAGCAGCCAGAAGGGCTGGAAATGCAGGATAGGGGAGGAAGGGAGTTACCAGGAGACTGGAAACATCCACTTCCTTTCCTCAAGCTCAGCCCTCCTCTCTCTCCAGACATGACAATCAAGGGGAGAGGGTGCAGGAGGTCCCTTGGTTTCCATTCCAGCTTGAAACACCAAGGTGGATCCCAAGGCCTCAGAGCTGTGTGGCAGGAGCCCCTGGTGCAGCTGGACACCACTGCAATTCAGTGCAAAGCCACCCCTAGAGCCCAGGTGTCCCCCACCCCAACCAGACCTGGTGCCTTGACTCCCCCATCCCAGCGGGGACAGTATAGAAAAGGAAGGGTCTTGGTTTCCTCTCCTGCCCCCTTCCTTGAGCTCCTGAATTCATTTGCTTTTAAATCTTGTTCTTTTTCTCTGGGTTTTGTTTTGTTTTAGTTTCCCTGGCCTTCCCTTTCTCTGTCTCCACCTCTTTCCCTGTGTCTTTTCTCTGTCTCCGTGTACCTCTTCTCTTGCCCTCAATTTCTATCTGTCCATTTGGGCCTCCTCCCCCACCCCACACCCCCAGTTCCTCCTTGGTCTCCTTTTCGATATGCCAAACCAATTTTGGGTCGAGTGCATTTAACGAGAACAAAACAAAAGGCTCATAACAACAAGAACGTTTCAGAAAAAAATAAAAAGTTTAAAAAAATTGTTGAGTCAAAAATCAATAAAGAAATTAAGATTTCTTGGAATGACAAGACTGGTGTGACTCGTTGGGGGTGGGTGGCTCGTGGGGCATGCCCTTGAGGTGCTGACACTGTGAGGAACCTGTACCACAGCCTTAGAACCCACAGCAGGAGGCCTGACCGTCAGTTTCAGAGATGCTTGCACAGAGTTCCTGGGCAGTGAGTTCTCCACTGGGTGATTCAGGTATAGTTTTTCTGAGTCCTCATAAACCCTCTAGGATGGTGGTTATCAGAGCTGCTTTTACAGACAGGAAAACGGCTTCAGATGCCGCGCTGCCCCTCCTGCTGGAGTGGTACTTTTTTTTTTTTTTTTTTGGAGTGGTACATTTTTTAACCTGACAACATTATGGGATTGTATCGTGTATTTCATGTTTTCAAGTATAATTGCAGGTGCTCCGAGAGAAAGGACTGTTCTTCAAAGCCTTCTGCCTTCCACCCTTGCACTTACAGACCATACCCTAGCATCTCTCCAGCCTCTACTTTCCAATATGGCTGCTTCCTTCATCTGACCTCTCAAGCTTGGTAAACCCAGAGATAGCTTTGCACCCTTTCTCTACCTACACTCCCACACTGGAAGATTATCCTATCTCATGGTTTTAAATACTATCCATACGTTGATGACTCGCCAACATGGAGCTGCAGATTTACATACATCTGTAGATCTGCTCCAGCACAGCTCCCCCCGGGGGGGGGGGTGTCTCAAGCTTAACCTAAAACCACTTCCTGACCTGCCTCCCCACGTCCTCCTATAGGCTCTCCACCTGAATTAACGGCAGGTTCATCTAAAGACTCAAGTTAAAGCCCCTGAAGCCACCCTGAAACTCCCATCTTTGTTTAATGCCCCACATCAAACCAACAGTAGTTGCAATGGTAGTTCTGACTTCAAAATACTGCATCTAGAATTAATCAGTTCTCACCACCCCCATTCAGTCACCGGGACTATGTAATAGTCCCCTAAGAACTCCTAGATCCCCCTTCAGGGTTTTCTCATGGGAGAAAACAGTGATCTTATCTACTCTGCTCAAAACTCTCCAGTGGTTTCCCATCTCACACAGACAAAGGCCATGGGCAACACAAAAGTCTAAAAGACCCCACAGCATCAGACCTCCACGGATCTCCTATTCCCCTCCAGGCTAGCTAGCCACAGTGGTTCCTCACTGCCCACCAATATGCAGGTAACTCCGCCAGCTAGAGGGCCTCTGCAGTGACTGTTCCACAAGGTTCACCTATTCACCTGCAGGGCTTATGAAAATCAGAGATTCCCCACAGGTCTTCCCACACTACTCCATCCTAAGTGCAGGTGGCCACTCCTGAATTCCCTAACCCGCTTCTTACTCTTACTCCCACCTAACAAAGTATATGTTGCTGACCATATGCCTGCCCCACTTTAAGGAGATATACACCTAGCATGATGTGTGGCACCCAGTAGGTGAGCAGTAAATAACTGCTAAGGGACAGGAAGCTCAGTTTATTCAGGTTCACCCAGAATAAACCTAGGATAGTCAAAATTATGGGTGCTCTTTCTGCATCACACTAAGACTGTAATTCAGCATGAACTCTGGAACCTAAGTTCAACATTTTATCTGGTGCCCAGACCAAGAGGAGGCAATCTTCCTGTGCTATAGAAAAAACTGATGATGGACTAACCGAGAAATGATCTGTGAGCAAGTTTGGGGTGCTAAATGTTATGTTTAACTCTAGGTGGCTCTTTAACTTACCTTTTTCCATCTTTACGATGCTATGGATGCAATATGCATTCAGAAAAACTATACTTCAAATATGGAATCCTCATTCCCTAGGCTTGAGATGCCGCCCCACCCCTCCTGCTCACAGCAGGCAGTGAGCACAGCCCTGTGACCATAAGCATTAACAACCACAGTAGTGTCTTCTACCAGCTATTCTCAAGGCCCAGGGGAAAAGAGAGAAATTGACGACTGATAGATTTAGCATCCCCATCATTCAGTAATTAATTTTAGCTCAGTGCTTCAAGACTTCAAGACCTATATGCTTCCAGCTATACACGGTCATATGAGAACCCAGACAGTAGCTTCCTGCTCTAGGTAAAGTGTTCAATAAATTATATCAACTATTCAACACTCCAGTGTAAAATAGGATGTGTGTTGGATAATTTTGCCCAACTGAAAACTAGTAAGATCTGAACACCCTTAAGGTAGACTAGGCTAAGCTATGCTCTTCAGTAGGATAGTTGCCATTGTTAAATTATGCTGCGTTTATTGAGACGTAACCACTCTTAAGTCGAAAAAGAGCTATATGTAGTCACACCTAAGTGACTTCAACCACCAACAGATCACTATATAGTGTCCCCATAGGTTGTGCGATCTAGCCTAAGTGTGTATAGTAAGTGATTTAGGTTTGTGTACTTAAGCTCTATGATGTCTGCACAACAAACTTGTCCAATGACCCACGTCTCAAGACTATATCCTTGTCGTTAAGCTGCACATGCTGTATAGGATTATGACCTCATACTAGATTTTAAAATCAAGTCCCAGCATGAGATTCAGCAACAGGGCCAGTTCTGCCTCTGTGTCCTTTACCCTCCCACAATGGTACTCACCTGCTCCACTCTGTACACAGTCTAAACCTGTGGTGCCTGACAACTTGCAGCCCTTGGAGGGTTGAAAGTAGCCCCTGTACATATTTGGGGCAACCATTTGCACAAGTCTACTTACAATATTTGTGCTGAGATGTATCACTTCAAAGCTCATTCCCACGTTTCATATGATTTAATTATCACATGTTATGCATTATTATCAGATAAGGAAACTAAACTTAAAGAGTGATGGAATAAGTTACTCAAATATGGTTACTAAGCAGTTCAAAATGCCCATACCCTGTAGATGCTTCACACAAGCTGCCCAAATTAATCTGTTTAACAACCTAGCGAGACAGGTATTACTTAGCCCCATTTTACAACTGCAGAAGCTGAAGCCGAAAAAGGTTAGAGACTGTTCACTCAGCTGCTAAGTGAAGCTGGGCCAGGCCTCTACTTTGGCCCTCAGATCAAACAGGGCATGTTTCTAGGTCTGTGAATCAGCTGCAGTTACCCACTTCCATGACTGCCACCAACCCCACTCAGCACACAATAGAGGCTGACAGTTTGGCATCCTACTTCGGAAGGGATGTTCACTGACCATGCCATACCTGAGGTACCCTTTGATAGCCAGTATTGAGACTGTCCAGAGTAGGCCCATGTGACTCAAGCCAGGAAAAGGCCTGCATGCAAAGCAATGGAGGGTCTGAGATAGAAACCTCTCCAGATTTCCAAAGGATGGAAAGTAGGGGGTCAAGAGGAGGAGCTCTACCTTTCTAGGAGGCTTCAGAAAGCCTCTTCTTGCATGTGAACCCTTGGGAAGGCTTGGGGGACTAGGCTAAGGCTAGTCCCCCATTTCCTGAATGTCCATAATTATTCTGCTCCACCTTTACCCTTCTTTTTTTTGTTGTTGTTAAAGATTTATCTATGATACAAGAACTAGAGTACAGGCCAGAGGTGAGGGGGTAGTGAGAGGACTCAACAGAGACAGACTGGGGAGAAGAACAGGCGGACTGACTGAAATACACTGCTGAGGGAAGTAGCAGGTGGGATAGGAGAGGTCTGCTGCGTCATGTGGGGGATATCAGCACTGCAGTGGCTGCGAATAACTTCAGAGTGACGTACTTTAACCCACTGAGCCAGCAGGGAGGACACCAAGAGCTGTTGATTATTAAGATAAAGATTGTAAATTCAAACAGAGGCTTTTCAATACTGAACATTTAAATCAGTTAATAAATCTATTACATGTCTACATAAATAACCTATTTAAACCAAAATAATAGAAAGAATGGTATTGTTTTACATTTTTGTAAAGCTCTTACTGTCTGTCTTAATAGAAGACAGCTGGATTCTCACATAGGTTTCCACAATCATTTGTTGCAAAATACTGTTTTGTTTAAAGAATATGAGGGAAAATCCAGTCTCACACAGACATCCAGTTGGAAAAAGGAGGACTGGTATAGCCTTTTCAGTCAATTAGGGACATTCTGCTTTGTCACTATACCAAATTCCACAAGAGTTTGTGTATTAAAGTTAGCTACAAAAATGTGATACTGCAGTGATGAACTCTTCTCATTCTACTACATTAAGACCTACTGGTCTGCCTTAAATTTTAATTGATCTTCATCTCTGCATGATTTGACAACATCATGCACTGGTCTTCTGGAAAGCACTGTACTACTGAGTTACTAAAATTTCACTGTGCAATATTTTAAAATTTATATTTGTTAATATTGTCTGATCTCATTAGAAAAGTCTTTAAGCATTAAAAAGTTGTAAAGCCAGCCCTCCCTGGTGTTGCAGCAGGTTAAAGCACAGCACTAAGAAGTTAAAGCCACTTCAACATGAGCTCAACACCCCCCCAACCCCCCCCCACAGAGGTGATCCACATGGCACAGCAGACCTCTCCTCCTGACCTGTCCACTGCTCCCCTCAGCAGTGTACTTCCTCAGTCAGCCTGTTCTGCTCTCCTCAGTCTCTGCTGAAATCTTTTCACTGCCCCTGCACCTCTGGCCTGTATCCCAGTTCTGTATGCATAAATAAATAAATCCTTTTAAAAAAATGTTATAAGAGGTAAAAGACCTCTACAAAGAAAATTACAAAACACTGTTAAAAAGAAATACAAGAAGACACCATGAAATGGAAAGACATCCCCTGCTCATGGATTGGGAGAATTAACATCATCAAAATGGCCATCCTGC